ATAGATATTATTCTACCACAGAAAGCACTGTACTTCAAGATAGTATTGATATTTTTACAATGTCTCCCTATCCATGAGCATGGCTCATATTCTTCCATTTATGTTGGTCTCTTTGGTTTCTTGTAGTAGTGTTTTATAGTTTTCTTTGAATAGGTTTTATAGTTTTCTTTGAATAGGTGATTTGTGTCTCTGGTTACATTTAATACTAAATATTTTATCTTTTGGGGGTTATTGTAAATGGTATTGTTTTCCTGATTTCCCTGTCAAGAGTTCAACTGACTTTTGCATATTGCCACTTTGCTAAATCTTTGAATTCCTTCTAATATTTTTCTTGCTGAGTCTTTTGGATTTTTTTGTGTGCACATACTAAGCTGTTTTTATTAATCCATAATGGCATGCTATAGATACTGTACAGTGTGAAGATTTATTCATTACAAAAATGGCTTCCAAACCACTAGAAATGAAATTGGAATAAGAGCATAAAATGGAACAGTAACATCACAACTGTTAGGAAACATTCAAATAATTCACAGAAAAAAATTAATAAACCAGGGAAAAATCAGAGACAGTTTTACAATCACTTCATGTCAACTACAATGGCACTGAATGAACAGGTTTCAGCTTTGTACAGCCTTTATACATCAACATGCCAAAGATCTTTTTGTCTTTTTTTTAATTCACTACCTACTTGTATGTATGTGTGTACTATGAAAAACCTGTACATGAATTTCAAAGAAATGCTGCACCAAAATAAAGCCATACTAATTTATACTAACATGTCTGAACAGGATCTAGTTAGAAGCACTTAGAAGGCTAAGACGTTTAAAAAGAGTTCCTATCAGAGCAACATGAATTCTTCTAAAATTGAAGTAAAAATGAACATTAAATTTATGGTTAAGCTGGGGTTAGAGAAAGGTGAATTCGTTGATGGTTTACAAAAAATGTATGGGAACAATGTTCCAAAGAAATCAGCAAATTTCTTTAAGAAAGGAAGAGACAATGTTGAAAATTAAGCCTACAGCAGCCAACCATCCACTTCAACTTGAAAGGCAAAAATTAATCTTGTTCATACCCTAGTTGAAGAGAACTAACACCGTGGGCTAATGCGCTGGACTGCAAAGTCAGTTTGAGGTCGACAAAGGTCAACAGTTCAAGCTCACCAGCCGCTATTCGGAAACCCTATACAGGGTCACTAAGGGTTAAAACCTACTCAATTGCACTTAACAACAACAATAATTAACAGAAGAAAAAATAGACAACACCATAGACGTCTCAACTGATTGAGATTAAACAATTCTGAATGAAAAATAAAAGTTGAACAAACTTGACTCAGTGAGTGCCATAATTATTGCACCCAAGATCAGCTGCAGACAAGGAACAGAACTTTCTAATGGAAATTTTAAATAAATGGTATCAAGATCCTGAAGTATTTCTTGAAAGAATGGTAACAGGAGATGAAACATGACTTTACCAGTATAATCCTAAAGACAAAGCACAATCAACGTAATGACTATCAAGAGATGGAAATGGTCCAGTCAGAGCAAAAGCGGACTGGTCAAGAGCAAAGGTCACAGTAACAGTTTTTGGTGATGAGATGCTCAAGGCATTTTGTCTGTTGACTTTCTGGAGGGCCAAGGAATTATCACATCTGATTATGAGAGTGTTTTGAGAAAGTATACTCTTGTCCATTCCTTTCATCAAACAAAGGCAATTTTGTGAGTTTCTATGAAGTATCATTAGGCATCAACCTTACAGTTCTAATTTTGATTCTGACTTCTTTTTCTTTCCTAGTCCTAAAAAATCTTTAAAGACCACCCATTTTTATTCAGTTAATAATGTAAAAAAAAGATTTACATTGATGTGATTAAATTCCCAGGGACCTCAATTCTTTAGGAACAGGCTAAATGCATATTATCACTTATAAAATTTTTTTACTTTGATGAAGCTTATGCAGAGAAATCAAGTTAATAATGTTTATCTTTTAATTCCATTTTTCCATTAATATTTGAAGTCCCTTCATAAGACCTAACTATATTGAGGAATTTCCTTCTATTCCAATTTTGCTGAGTGCTTTTATCAGGAATGGATGTTGGTTTTTGTCAAATGCCTTTTCTGTGTTGATTGATATGATCATATTTTTCCTTTGTTTTATGTAAGTGCTGGATTATATTGTTTTTCTAATGTTGAACCATCTTTGCATATTTTATATAAACCTAACTAGGTTTTCTTACATATTGTTTTTGAGAAGTTTTATGTCTATGTTCATAAAGGATATTGGTCTATCATTTTCTTTCTTAGTGATAATTGTGTCTGTATCAGGGTAATTTATGCTCACTTTGTAAGATGCATTTGGAGATATTCTATTTTTTCTTATGTTCTGGGATAGTTTAAGTAGAATTTGTGTCAGTTTTTCTCCAAATGTTTGGTAAAATTCACCAATCAAGATGTCCGGGGCCTGGATTGTTTTTGTTGTTGGAATGTTTTAATGACCTATTCATTTTTTTCTTTTGTTCCGAGTCTTTTTTTTCTACCTCAGTTTGTAATAGTAGAATGTGTTTCTAGAAATTTGTCCATTTCTTCTAGGTTTTCAAATTTGCTGGAATATAGTTCTTCATAATATTCTTTTCTTATCCTTTTAATTTCAGGGGGCTCTGTTGTGATGTCATTTCTTATATTTGTGTTGTCTCTCTTTTTTTCCTGTTGGATTTGATAGTGGTATGTCTATTTTATTAATAATTTCAAAGAACCAACTTCTTGTCTTATTGAGTCTTTCTATTGTTTTTCTGTTTCATTTATTTCTGCTCTAATCTTTATTATTTTGTTTCTTTTGTAGGCTGTACACTTATTTTGCTGCTCTTTTTAAGTTGTTGGAGATGTTGGGTTAAGGTGTTAATTTTGCCTCTTCCTTTTCTCGCTCTCTTTTTTTAAAATTTGTGCATTTATTGCTACAAATAGACATCTGAGCACTGCTTTTGCTGTGTCCTAAAAGATAAGGAGCTCTGGTAGCGTAGTGGTTACGAATAGGGCTGCGAACCTCATGGTTAGCAGTTTGAAACTACCAGCTATTCCGCAGGAGAAAGATGAGGCTTTCTGCTCCTGTAATGATTTACAGCCTGGGAAACCCTGTACAGGGTCACTATGAGTTGGAACCGACTCCACGGCAAACAACAACAACAACATATCCACATGTGTATTTACCTGTGATGCAAATATATCTATCCATGGATGTGGTGGAACATAATACAACTAAGTTAATGTAAAATCAATTTAAATAACTCAATTACAAAAGCTTTTAGTCAGTTTATACCATTTATATTTCTGGACTGGCTTATTTTGTAGGGGATGGCAATGGTTGCCCCTAACCCCCTCACCTGTATAACACGTAAGTGTCCTGCCAGCACACTCAGAGGTAATACTATGTAGATGGACTAGATTTCTGCATAAAAGGCTGGCTTTAACAAACTTATAAGACGAAAAACTTTGTGAGTTTACAGGTTTCAGAAAACTGACTTACCTTTTCCACGTCATCAGCATATGCAGAAAGACCAGGTTCAAGAGCTTGGAAGGTTTCATGCATCAAGGTGGGAGTTTCTAAGGAAAGAACATATTTAAAAAAAGGACAACTATAATTTTCTTTTATGGCATCTCTGCTGTAATGCATATTTTTAAAGACAGACTCTGACATCACAGGGTCAATTCCCCTCCCATTAATGAACAAGACACCTTCCTTATTTCTTGTCTACACTCAGCTTCTTCGGGTCAATTACACAAGGGAAAGATTCTGCCTTCTCTATTGTCTTCAATGTTTTGCTTCGAATTTAAAATATATATTTTTTAAATCGGCTTTTTTGAAGTATAATTTACATACAACAGACAGCATCCACTTCGAGTGTTCTATTTTAACAGTTAATTCTTGTTGATTGAATAACCAGAGGAGCAGGTAAGTACCTACAAATTGAATATATGAAAATCATGTCCCTGATTTCAGGATAACTGTTTTACTAGGTTCTAAAAAGAACGAATGCTACTGAAGGAAGAAGTCTAAACAGCATTGAAGGCACTGGTGTAAAACCAGGCTCCAGGACTGACTGAAAACAAAATGTTTCAACAAACTGTTGTAGCGCTGGAGGCGCTCCTATGTCAGTGCCAAGAAATTTTGAAGAAAACTACCTGGCCAGTCACTTGGAAGAGATCTGTATCTGTGCACATTCCAAAGAAAGATGATTGCATGGAATATGTAAATCATTAAACAGTATCATTAATATCTATATAAGTGAATCTGTGCTGAACATAATTAACAAGTGATTGTAGAAATACATTGAGAGAAATTCAAGTTGGATTCAGAACAGGACTTGCAATGAGCGATATCATTGCTGATGTCAAAGCATTCAAGAAGCTGAATGAACTCCAAACAGGGTAGATCACAAAAGAAATCACTAAGACATTATAGCCACTATTCGAAACCAAAGACAAGGAAAGAATCCTGAGAGTAGCTCGTAGAAAAATGAAAAGTTACCTACAAAGGAGAACTAGTAAGATTGCACTATAATTTCTTAGTAGAAACCATGAGGCAAGAAGACAATGAGATGACATATATAAAACTCTGAAAGAAAAGTATTGCCACCGAAGAATCATATACACATCAAAACTGTCCATCAAATATGTTGGTGAAATTAGGATATATCCAGATAAACACAAATAGAAAGAATTTTATAAGCCAGATCAATCTTATAAAAAATTCTAAAGGAACTAATTGAACAGAGAACCAACAACAGACAACAGCCTGACATTAACATACATGACAAAATTATTTAGAACCTAAGCCTGATATAGAAGTATTCAAAGTACACCAGACTTACAAGACTGAACTTAGGGAACCAGAGACACCACTTTGCAACAAAATAAAAAAAACTGCATAAAGTAAAACAAGGGAATAATGTAGTTATAGAACTTCAAATGAGGAATAAATATTTCAAGAAAAATAAATAAACCTAACTGTAACCCTAAAACCAGACCAAGCCTTTCTCCTAGCCCTAGCCCAACCCCTAACACAAATCTTAGTCCTAGCCATAACCCTAACAGTAAACGAAGTCCTAAGCTTAGACTAGAACTAGCCATAGTCCTAACCCTTACTCCTACCAGCACCCCTACACACCCACAAAACAAATTCAGATGACCTAAACAACATTTCATTCTGTTATGCATATGACCACTATGAGTCAGAACTGACTTGAAGGCACTTAATAACACCAACAACACTACCGAGTAGAAGAGTGAAGTCCTGGTGTAGTACTATAGAATCAGTACTGGACTGCTAACGAAAAGGTCAACAGTTTCACCCCTATACAGGGTCACAATGAGTCAGAACTGACTTCACAGCACTTAACAACACACTATTGAAATAACTTTAAATAAGCTAAACAAAACAGGCATCTTGTTTTCCCAGAAACACACCCATATTTCATGAGTTTTTCTAATAATAAGCACTTTATTATTGTTGTTGTGGAATATAAAAAGGTAGTCTATTGTACATGGTGTTACTAGTTAGATAAAAAGGTGGGGAAAATATATATACACACATACACACACACACATGAAAATATCTGGTGTAAAGACACACAAGAAACTACTTAATCATTGTGGTTATCCAAAAAGGAGGAATAGAGAATGGACACAAAGTAGGGAGGGCTGACCCTATATCTTAGTTTTGATTGATATGAATGTTACATTCATCAAAAAGAACATTTCAAGAGGGTGCGCAAGCAGCGGTCCCGGCGTAAGCTAGGAGGCATGCTTCTCTACTCCTTCCTCCTCTTGAGCTTCTCCCAGAGCCTTGGCACTGGAGAGGACCGAGATGGCAGATGAGATCGCCAAGGCTCAGGCCGCTTGGCCTGGTGGTGACACAATTTTTGGGAAGATCATCCGCAAGGAAATCCCAGCCAAAATCATTTTTGAGGATGACTGGTGTCTTGCTTTCCATGACATTTCCCCTCAAGCACCAACACATTTTCTGGTGATACCTAAGAAGCATATTTCCCAGATTTCTGTAGCAGAAGAAGATGATGAAAATCTTCTTGGACATTTAATGAATGTTGGCAAGAAATGTGCTGCTGACCTGGGCCTGAAAAAGGGTTATCGAATGGTGGTGAATGAAGGTTCAGATGGAGGACAGTCTGTCTATCATGTTCATCTTCATGTTCTTGGAGGTCGGCAGATGAATTGGCCTCCTGGTTAAGCGTACTTTGGGGATACTTGTCCCTTCTCTAGGCAATGATCAGGTTGGCAAGT